ATACAATATCTTTGGCCCTTGGAACAAACTGAAAAAATCATTATGGCCCGAAGGCTTCAAAGTTTGGAGACTCCTGCATTAAACTAACAATGGTTGATTACATTAGCCCTTATACAGCACCCCTGTAGGTAGTAATAGAGGTACTTTGCTTGATTGAGTACCAGAATTTTGTTTACTAGCTACAATGCGGATATGCTAATTTGAAAACCGGTGAGTAAACTAAATCCATTTGATCATTTAACAGGTTACACCCGCGATGTTTATGCTTGTGAATTTCCAAGGATTCTGAATAATAGAGTTTGCAACCCTTCCTTGCAAAATTTTCGTATCATTTAGATTCAGGAACTTGTGGTTGCATGCCAAGGATAGATTTGAAAACGCTGAATCATTTTTTCTCAGTTTGAAGGACCTTTTATGTTCAGCATACCGTTTTTAGAAATTTCGACCACATTGTCCCACATAAACACTATTACACTCCGAACACTTAAGCTTATAAACTCCAGATTTCTCCAACTTGTCTACCTTATCTTTGGCGTTGAAAAGGAAATCAGATAACTGACATGCGGTCTAAATGCTAATGTAATCAACCATTGTTAGTTTAATGTATAAGTTTGTAAATGTCCTTATCGGACGAAACTGCAGTAACGTTAGTTACAAATCAAAGTGGTAGAAAACATAGAAAGTACATTAGATATTTACGCATTTCTTATGGCACCAAGTTTTTTATGATATGATAATATAAAATGTTTGATAGAAATTGAAAGTTGAACTTTAATCAATTCATTATTTGAAGAATACATGCTTCTAAATGCAATTAAAGATAATTTTTTTGAAACAGAAACACAACTGGCAGAAAATAATATTGATTGGAGTTGCGCAGAAAGTGGTTATCTCTAGATAGTAAATTCCATGTTGTAGTTATTCTAGCAGATGACATTGATGTGTCAGTGGCATTCTTTAGGTCCTAAAGATAAAAATATTTTTTTTAATGAGTCAAAAATAACGCCTTACGAGTTTAGTTGAAAAATTTATATTGATGAAATATCCAAATATTACAAATCATCATCTCATTTTCATCAATGCAGAAATTTCATTAAAATTCTTAATAATGGTCAGAAGTTATGGGCAGCAGCTGAAACTTTGGTTAAAAAACAGAATGAAGAAGTACTTTTCACTGAAGGTATTAATTGTATTTGCATATGTATGGTGCCAAAACTGCCAAAAAACTTCTAGTGAACTTCAATACAAATGTTTCATGGCATTAGCTTCAGAGAATAAGAGTGTACAACTTAGTTCATCACCTCTGACAGAGGGTGCACTAAAACAAAATAATAGTGTTTAATTGCATGCTCAGCATTGAAAAAACAGTGTTGTTATACTACCTGAATGGTGAACAAAAATATAACTATGTACAAGCCACGACTGATGGCGATGGCGAGCGATCGCGTAGGTATAGATTCTCCCAACTAAATTACTATAAGCCCCTTGCCGACCAGTGTCGTACCTATAATTAGTTTTAATAAGGGTATCAAAGAAACATGACTGCTTTGTAATTTCTTTTCATATTTTATTTAGTATTATTTTGATAGTACTACAGTTCATTATCCAAAAATAAACTTTAATCAGTCACTATCTGAATACAAATTTTCTTCATCTTCACTGCTGATTGTGCTGCTATCGTCATTTAAATTTATATTCACTGGATTTACCTCTGTTTGAAACGCCTGTGAATGTTTCATTTTCCCAATATTTCTGCTCTATATCTACTACTTGTCGGCAAAGCTTTTGCCATTCCTCGGAACTAATTTGATCAATCTCGTGCTCCGCCATTTTCCTCACATCTTCCAACTTGAAAGTTACTTTCCTTTGGAACACGTTGTTTTTGACAGTAGCCCAAATGAGTTCAATGTGATTCAAATCCGGATGGTAGGGTGGAAGTCGCAAAACGTTATGTCCGTGTTCAAGTAGAACCTCATTAAATTTGTATCTAATATGATGCTTTTTATTTACTTTATACTAGGATAATTCGTGTTTGAGCATATTGGGGGTGAACATAATGCTTTTTTCCTGCAGCCACTTCACCATGTCAGCCTTCCTAGAATTTGTGTTGGGGGCTGGATTAATTTGCATATTATGCTATGGAGCATTATCGGTCATGACTACTGAATTCACAGGTAAATTTGGGATTAATTTTTCTTGTTACCATTTACCGTTATTCTCAGAACTCATTTCTGAATGATAATCCGCTGATGTTGTGCCTAATTNTCTCAACCATTCTGTAGTTCATACTTGATTTACAACAGACTTACCAGCACAGAGTCCAATATTACTCGTGAATTATTTTTTAGGTACCCTATCACTTTGTCCAAAATGGTTACACTTCACCTTTTGCTGCTAATGCTAAAAGTCCTAAACACCACGAAGATAATGGTTCATTCATAGCCATTCCGAAACGATATAGAAAAATTGATTTAAGGTACAATAAGTTGGGAACAGATGATTTCCAGTTCGATCATTACAATAGAAGTGGTTTTTCTGGTCTGGAAGCTACCTTGCCGAATGCTTACTGTAACGCTATGATACAGGTTAGTAAAAAGTGAGCAGTACGAAATTAACTAACTATTCATTCCATACACACTGAGTGTGTATGGAATTAAATTTTCATAAAGAAGGGAAGTGACAAATTCGTTCAAGGTCGTCACATTTTTCAGGGTTTGCTCTAGTTTACCTATATTTTGGATTGAATACTTGCTATTATGACCACAAAACATTACTAATGATTATGCTACTATATATTTCATTTATAGAATAAGTAACCACAAAATACATATAATGCGGACATAAATAATACCCCCTTAACTTTTAAACGGGGTAAGATATCAAAGTTGGACAAAATTTGTGTACAAAGGAATCATTTACATGATATAAGACATGTCATAAATAAAAAATGTGAAAATTATATAAAACAATAATAACGGTCCACAGTATAACATAGATCGGACACTTAAGACAGGTACTTAACTATATACATATATAACAAATAAGAGAAAGATTAAACTTGAAGATGATCACTTGGTAATTGAAACATGTGTCGATGTGTTAAAAACAACAATTTGGTATTGGAATAGAACCCCAGTAATATTCATATAAGTTTTGCCTAACTTTGACATCCTGCCCTGTTCAAGAGTTAAAAGGGGCGGACTATTTACATTCGTACTGTATGAATAAGACAAAAACAAAAAGTAATTTTCCAAACATAGTAACATTTGAATTGAAAATAGTTCATTTTTAGGAGAGGTTCATTTTTTATTGAAATTGAAATAATCTTTATTGAAATAGGAAACCTAATATACATATCTATGAGTGTAATAATAACACTAAATTACAGACTAGTTGGGCAAAATATTAAAGATATTTCAGAATGAAGTATGTATTTTGCTTATGTTTACAAACTTTGAATTTATTTTCAAAAATATTCTACTAAAATGAGCGTTATGCAAATTCAAGTCTATGCATGTGATTCTCATAAATAGCAAGAGTTAGAGGATAGGATGGATTGTGGCAGTTATCTATTTTCAGAAAATTAATTGATACCATAAAATCGACTCAATTTTTTTTTTTACAAAAATATACTGAAAAAACTAAAGAATTACAAATTTTATTTCTGGTTTTGTTTGCGGATATATTAAACATCTCTTCAAACTTTGTCATAGGTTTTTCAATCAGCAATCAGAATGTGATCATAAAACTTTCAGTCATAGTGTTTTTCTGTCTTGGAACAACCTCAATATCTTGTGTAATGACCCTGGTAATCGTAAAAATATAAGAATAAAAATAAATGTGCCTAATTTCTTGGATAGTTAATCTTTTCAACACAGATAAGGATAATTTGAATAATGATTTTAAAGTAAATAATGCATAATAGTCAAGTATAAGGAAATAATCTATCTGTTAAAATTTGTTTTTCCGGTAACCAACTGTCGCTTTTTTACGACAACTCTCAGAATTCGAAACCTGTGCGAGCTAAATATTAACGAGGTCTCACCTTTAAACGAGGGATTCCTAGCACGGAATCGCAATTGAAGTAATATAAAGATATATAATGAATATATATAGACTCCTACCATAAACATTTATTATATGAAATATCATCATATTTTCTGTAAATTTAACACTCATTAGTTTGTAAGTTTTATAGTTGTGTAGTATCTGTGACTATTCCTATGTATGTTGTCAATTATGGGAAATAAATGATTGATTGATCGTGTCTTTGTGGCATTTTTAATAAAAAGGGGATTTATGTACAACACTCCCGTATGGTATTCTCTAAATGTTCTTTGTTTGTAAATGGTCTGTGTTTATACTTTTTGTTTCAGATAACCCCATAGAAAAAAGTCCATTGGAGCTAAGTCCGGTGATCTCGTTGGCCAATAATCTTTCCATTCTAGTCCTATCACTTTGCCACTAAACAAACATCTGACTGAGACACTGTTTCATTTCTACTGTTTGGTGGATCGGTGCCCCGTTATTACAAAATTTGGATTATTGTTGTACCACCAGCGACAATTTTAGGAAGTAACTGTTCTGTTCAATGTGAAAATTGACTCGTCTTTCTATAAAATTCTGTAGGGAAATGCGTAAACATTTTCTCTCTCACCTAATATTATATTAGTTTTTTCGTTTTCAACAACGCTCAAACATTGAGTTGTTATTTTTCATTATACTTTATTAGATTACATAGTTTCTTGAAACAATTGTACACACAGCCAGTTTCTTTGAATGTATTCAATATCCTTCCCATGGTACTAAAGTAAATATCTCTTCCGGGAAACAGGTGGTTGAAAATACGAGCAACATCTCGATATGGCATATTCTCACCACATAAAAGAATGATTTCCATACATAAAACTTATTTGTGATATATAAATGTATGAAAATCTGTAACAACTCGATTCATTAAACACAATAATTTGACATTAACCAAAACTAAAAATTTGTTTCAAAAGCCAACTAAGGGAAAATTTTATTTCAATTTGATCAGAACCTACTATTTTTTTCCCGACATGTATTAGCCTTGTAATGTTTAAAATCACGAAATTTTATGTAATATTTAGTAAAAATTGCTAGAACGAAAGTCTTTAATAGGTATGAATAACTGTACAGTGTAACAATGAAATGAAAAAACTAGATGAACTTTGCAACAACAAAGACGAATTTCTGAAGGTGTATTTATTTTTCTGGTAACAGGCAAAATGCGGGCGTTTTTCATCATAATTATGAAATTCGAATCATGTTTCTTTGGTATTTTTCGAAATTTCCAGAAAAACTGATTTTCCCGAATTTCAATTTTGTTATTTGAATTAATAAAATCAATATACCTATTTCATTTCACTTATTTATTCATGATGATTTTCATAGACTTTTTTCAGAGCTGGAATAGGTTTGTGCTTCACCAAATGCATGTCGAATTATGTGAAACAAAAAAGAAACTTGAAGAAAAAAAAGTGAACAGGAAACCATTTGTCTACAAAGAAATAGATTTTCCCATAATTTCTGATAATATGAGAGAAAAACGTCCTTCGTTTGGTAATATAAATTTCGAGTTTGTTATCTCTATTTTATATTTTTCTTTGTAGCTGGCGACGTAGATATTAAAATGGAAGATGAAAAACGAGAGGATGTATCAGAGTTGAGCCAATTGTTTGGAACAAAACAGCTGCAAATCAACTCTTGCTTGAAATGTGGCAATGAGGTATTTGTGAATACTGCATGTGCAGTACAATTAATTCTTCAACTCCTTTGTAGGTCCGAAAAGAATCTGTTCTTCTTGCCTGTAATTTGGTTTACCCTCCGCTTGATTCAGGTAGAGATGAATGGAGTTTTTGTGATATTTTAACACGATCTTTATGCCCCCAACAAACAACTCCTGCATGGTGTGAAAAATGTTCCAAATTTTCCCCGACATCTCAATCCAGAATATTACAGGTACGAACAGTGAATTTGTTTGTCATTTTTTCAAGAAAACAATCAAATGGTTATATCATTTCAATGATGAAAAGATATCTGATTCGATTCCATTACACATGTTCGGTATACAAACGGAATAGAGAAAAGTGTTTTTCATATAATTCAGCATTCATATAAAAGTATTTGTTTCGAAAGTATTTTTTTTTATGTAATTCAATGTTTATATGAAAGTAGCTGTTTTGAGATGGCTTTTCTTCCAGTTTGTGTCTGAAAGTTGAAAGTTACTTCTTTGTATGATCTTACACTCCTTAATGCAGTATGGATCTACATAACTGAGACTTGGTAGTTTATCAGCTGGTAAAAATCATTGGTTGCTTGGGCAGAGGGATATGTTCTAATAGTTCCGGTTATATTTGTCAAATTATTTTTCATATAAAAATGTATAAGACAAAAAGACACAAAAAGACAAATGAATACCAAATTTTACAAGACATAATGACGATCAGGTGACAGAAGTTGATCAAAATTGATCAGTTTAGGTTTAGTTAAGGCTATTCTACGATATAACAGTGTCACCATACAGTAAATATAATTAATCATTCTTTCATATGTAAACAATACTGTACCGCTGCGTTTTTAGACGTAAGTCTGGCACCCTAGATTACTCTGCAAGATTAAAATAATTCTTCCTGCAGGCAATTTCAGCCTACTGAAATGTTATCTACGGAAATGTCATTTCCAAGTGAAATGTAATGTTAAAATCTCAATCCGTATGCCAATTCGAGCCAGATTTCCACAAGGAAGCATTTTGGGTCCAACATTGTACATAATGTACACTAATGATTTACCCACAACAGACAAAACGACTATTGCTACATTCGCAGATGATACAGCTATTTTCGCCAAGCATGATGATCCCAATTTGCTACGTGTAATTTTCAAGAACATTTACATTCCACTGAAACATGGTTGAAAAAATGAAATAATGAGGTAAATAAATCAAAATCTCGTATAGCTTTTATTCTCAAAAAGGGAAACTGACCACAAATATATAGTATGATCTTAC